TATATATATATATATATATATATATATATATATATATATATATATATATATATATATATATATATATATATATATATATATATATATATATATATATATATACACGTTTTTCTGGTTTTATAGTAAATCGTCAGTTGTATCCTCTGATTTTTGTCTGTAGGGATAACGTTTCTATTAACAATATCTTTCAGGACCCTTTCCTCCGTTTTATGAGCTGTGGAAAAGAAGTTCCTGTAAAATAGTCTAATAGGGGGTATAGGTGTTGTGTTAGTTGTCTCTTCAGAGGTCGCATGGCTTTTCACTTTCCTTCTTATGATGTCTTCGACGAAACCATTGGAGAAGCCGTTATTGACTAGGACCTGCCTTACCCTACAGAGTGAAAGCCATGCAACCTCTGAAGAGACAACTAACACAACACCTATACCCCCTATTAGACTATTTTATATATATATATATATATATATATATATATATATATATATATATATATATATATATATATATATATATATATATATATATATATATATATATATATAATGTCGTACCTAGTAGCCAGAACGCACTTCTCGGCCTACTATGCAAGGCTCGATTTGCCTAATAAGCCAAGTTTTCATGAATTAATTGTTTTTCGACTACCTAACCTACCTAACCTAACCTAACCTAACTTTTTCGGCTACCTAACCAAACCTAACCTATAAAGATAGGTTAGGTTAGGTTAGGTAGGGTTGGTTAGGTTCGGTCATATATCTACGTTAATTTTAACTCCAATAAAAAAAAATTGACCTCATACATAATGAAATGGGTAGCTTTATCATTTCATAAGAAAAAAACTAGAAAAAATATATTAATTCAGGAAAACTTGGCTTATTAGGCAAATCGGGCCATGCATAGTAGGCCAAAAAGTGAGTTCTGGCTACTAGGTACGACATATATATATATATATATATATATATATATATATATATATATATATATATATATATATATATATATATATATATATATATATATATATATATATATATATATATATATATATATATATATGTCGTACCTAGTAGCCAGAACTCACTTCTCAGCCTACTATGCAAGGCCCGATTTGCCTAATAAGCCAAGTTTTCATAAATTAATATATTTTCTCTATTTTTTTTCTTATGAAATGATAAAGCTACCCATTTCATTATGTATGAGGTCAGTTTTTTTTATTGCAGTTAAAATTAGCGTAGATATAGGACCGAACCTAACCAACCCTACCTAACCTATCTTTATAGGTTAGGTTAGGTAGCCGAAAAAGTTATGTTAGGTTAGGTTAGGTAGTCGAAAAACAATTCATGAAAACTTGGCTTATTAGGCAAATTGGGCCTTGCATAGTAGGCTCAGAAGTGAGTTCTGGCTACTAGGTACGACATATATATATATATATATATATATATATATATATATATATATATATATATATATATATATATATATATTTAATTATTTTCCAAATAAGTTTTGACTTATTTGAAAATATGTCTTTTTTATAATTTAAAACTTAAAACAGCGTTGAATGTAATGAAACGCCCGGAGGTTCCCGGCAACCCTCCCTCCCTTCCTTCGGTCGGCGGTTTTCACGTATTTTGATATCCAGCCTTGGAACTAAAGGTGATGATCACCGGCGCGAGGGTCTGGGACTCAACCCTTTCCCGGGAGGTGGAAGCTGCGCAGACATGCTGCGTGGCTCGTGTGATGTCATGCTAGTTTGCTTATTTTCCCTTGGAGTAGTTCTGTCCATTTGTTTCGTTATTTTCGTTGGTTTTACCAGAATAGGGGTTTGTTTTGAGGTGCTTACCTTTCTGGGTGCCTGTCCCAGTCGATGGCAGATATAGAATTCTCCAAAATGACATGTGCATTTTTATAGGTCATTGCTCCTCGTGCCTCGCTGAGGGGGGCCAGGTTCTGGCCGTGGTACCCTGTAGGCCTAGAACTCCACCCACATCGACTGATGCCAAAAGTTAGGACTATCCCTAATCAGCCTGGATAGCTCCGGGGAGCCGTAGGGGCTCTCCCCAGAAACATTGATCGCTTTCAAGTTGAGAGGGCTGAAAGCGCCAGAGCTCAACTCCCACAATTACAACTAGGTGTATTGTTAGATGCAACTTATCTTCTATCTATGAGTAGTAAGCAAACTCATTCTTAGATAGCCAGTAATAGCAAACAACTTACTGTGTAATTGTGCGGTATGCAGGCACTCGCACAGCCACCTTCTGTGATGTACATTGCACCACCAACTCCTCAAAATTGGCCTCCTTCATGACCCTCTGTAAATAGTAGAAATAAGCATACAAAAATTGGAACTTTTTACATCATTTTTACTATATCTCAATGTACTGAGTTAACCATGCACATGATTAACAAACCTAATATTGTAATGACTTCAAATAAGTTTCTTGTCTGGACTTTAGTAAAAAAAAAAATTAAGTTTCCCGTGATCAGAGACTGCATTTTAACAATACAGTATAAGAGAAAATAACTTTTTGGAAAGAATTTATTTTCAGCGTACCACAGGTGTGTTGTATTTTAATGCAGAGAAGTTCAGTGGTTAATTTATCTTTTTCTTTTCAAATGAACAGTCAAAAAATGTATGGCAGGACACGAGTAAATACCTAGAAAGGTTCATTATAAATAAATTAGACAGTACGTTTAGGCACTGGCACCATAAACTCCCTGCTGCTGGTATACAGCGACCAAAACCAAATACTGTACTGTATATATATCTCTAAATAAAATTTGTATGATAACCCACATTTAACAAGATATGCCTTGCAGTCTTTGTAATTAGCTATATGAATACAGTAAACATAATTACAGTACATTAGTTTGTCATGATGCCAATACCAGCCAAGTGACTGACCCCTCTGCCTAGGCTAAATACCAGCATCAGCTTCTCGTGTTAAATTATTCATTTCTTAGGAACCACTAGCTGTTTAGGTCATATAGGGTGGCCTGAAAGTCACTTTACAGTAATGGTATTTTATTTCATTCATTTTATACTAACATTATTTTATAATTTTATACAAAAATAATAAATTGTTATAAAATATTAGTATAAAACAAATGAAGGAAAATAGTGTTACAGTAGAGTGACTTTAGGGCCACCATGTACAGTATAATAATGTGCATTGTAACATGATGTGTTTGGTATGTACTGGTACCTACTGTATATCTTTTCTAGAAATCAATAACCGTTCTTCATGAAAATTCTTCATGATGATGATAACGAATGTAAGATATATATTGTTAAATGAGGTTATTATACAAATTCTATCAATTTAATTTATGCAGTTTTCCATTTTCTAAGTATTTTGGAACCATTTTCTGGCCAAATACACAAGTTATATGACTTATCCAATACTTAAATAAAGAAATGTTTCATTTTCCAGTTACCCCAGTGCAGTGGTGAGCCTGGAAATGTAATAATCTTGGCATTCAGCATTCATATAATTGTTTGTATAGTGTAATTTTTTTTTTTTTTTTTGCAGGGATATTCCTGTGCGAGCCCTAAGCCTCTGGCTGGCCCACTAAGTGTTGCTTGTTTCTGTTTTACTTGGGCGGAGTGAGTATTTATTACTCGTATGGTCGCTTCAGTAAGATTTTGTAGTGTATGAATATTATTTGTGCACTAAGCAAACAGTGCACTAAATGGCCCTCTGATGGTAGGGAAAAGAAAATGGCACCTTCAGCACCTGTTATGATACTTGTTACAGACTGACCTTATATCCCAAAATAGTTTAATATGTACATTTATTTTTATTTTATTTATTTATTTATATACAAAAAGGTACATTAGTTTTGTGAGAATATATAGCATAGTATTTACAATCTCGTAAAGCCACTAGTACGCGCAGCGTTTCGGGCAGGTCCATGGCACTACATAGAAAATTAATAATTCAAGAAGAATAAGGGAACCATTTCCAGGTCATAGGGTATACTAAGACCTCTGCCAACACAGACCGTAGAATCATAACACTGGACTGCCTATAAACAACTCAAAAACGATAATACACCAAGAGCTTCAAGAAAAAGCCTTGAAGATCTGAAGTAAAGTGAAATCCATACTAGCTAGTCCATCATTGCACTGTCATGCAAGAAGAGGTACACATCGATGAATCGCCCAATAAAATCATCAGACTCCTAGATGTTAATACTGCTCGGCTTAAACTCGGTCATAAGTATCTCTGGTAATTTTCATTACCTGCTGGTGTAGATCTGACCAAATGTAAATTGTGTCAGCAAAATTATTCACACCCCCTCCATCACTACTATGTAATGGAGTACAAAAAGATGCATGAATTTAGAGACAGGTTTACAATAGATGTTCAGGAAGCGAGTAATATTTAATTTAAAATCAGTCAATTAAAATTAATTAAAATAAATTAAAATCATAAAATCTATCAGAAATGTTGGCCAAATATCTCCAGTTTGATTGTAACCCATTAGTTTGATTGAATGTGGGTGATTGTAACTTCTCCAGCGCCTCCTACTGAATGGCAGGTATGCATTATAAGCAAATCAAATTATGAAACTAGCTCACCACACATATAAGTTGCTGAGCTTAAGAGAATACTTGAGGCCATTCTCAAATCCATTGTTGATCTAATTCACTAAAAACCATATAATTAGCTTATCAGGACTCTAGCTATAGTCTTGGCTAAATGAATCACAGTAACGTGGCTGAAGATATGAGGACCAAACCACACATCAGACAATTAAGTAACAACTTTTGGTCTGTCCTGGATCACTATAAAGTCCTGTAATATTGGTCCAGGACGGACGAAAACGTTGTTGTTTCTTCATTTTCTCATGTGTCATTTGGTCATTTTAGCCAAATGAATGTTGGAGTTCATGTGCTGCCTCTAACCTTTTCTGCCACCCATGGGATGGGCAAGTGGTGTATAATAAATGAACTATAAATGCACTTCTAAAAACACATTTCACTGGAGACATCTCCAGTCACGCAGGGTGCAGTTGCACCTCCACAGATCTCCAGTATCAGCACTTGATACTGGTAATGGCTCAAAAGGACCACCACTTACGGGCTATTCATGCCCGTGCCACCTTTTGGGTGGCTTAATCTTTATCAATCAATTTTTCAATCACTTCTGAAAGCGACGCAAGTATGAATTCTGGACGCAGTCAGTTTTTGTTATACTAGTGGTTGGACTAGCCTGGTTTAAAACCCATGAGCGTAGTGTCTTCAGTACGAAGTGACCATCCCACGGACACATCTTCAACACAAACCAACAACGTCACATTAAAACACTCTGGCAAGCTCTAAATACCAACGACAGGTTATGAGGGAGGTCCGCTGCTTCACTGTCACCACTGAACATTACTCGAGGCACTCCTCAATGACCATAGCTGCCACCAACGTCAAGTAATTCACCCACACGTCCCCTTCACAACAAACCTAAACAAGCACCACCTCTATAAGACCACTCCATCACTTCACTCAGTAAACATGATCACCGGTTATTAAGTCACCTGAGACAGTAAACATTACTTCACAGTGCCACTAGCATGACGAGAGGTTGCGGGGTGACTTAGGGAGGCAGGAGATAATAATAACAAGAGAGTGAGCCTCACCACTTGCCCTCAAGGTCCCGCTCACAACAACACCGCCACACACGAAAGCGCGGGAAATGTTGTGTTGCTACTTGTTGGAGGCTCACACACTAGCTCCTCCAATAACATTTGTTCCTTTCAAAATATTGTTAGACAACAAACGAGTTTACCAATGGGTGAAAACTATGTGAAATCAATATAGATAATATATTATTAGTGTTTAGAAGTACGGGTGTTATGTGTTTATATACATATATAAAAAATTAAATGAATTATTTAATTTCTCTAAATAAACATACTCCTCTAGACCACCCTGAAGTTGGTTACTTCCCGGTTCCTTATGAATAAAATAAATAAATAAATATATAGTTTATTTAGGTAAAAATACATACAAACATACTGAATTACAAGCAGAATGTTGGATTTCTAGATAGAGCTAGTATATACTTTCTGTGGCGCAGTGGTAAAACACTCGCCCGGCGCTTCGCAAGCGCTTTGAGTGTAAATTATGTAATATGCCGCACGCCCACACCTGTGAACATTATGTATTAGAGTGTCACCTTATTGATAACTATAAAAATAAGGAAATAAGCTGTGTACCACATCAAATTGTTTGGATGTGTGATAATGGTATGATAGACAGTATACTTAGGAGCTACAAGAATTTTAGCCCAAGAGTGTAACACTTATATGCTGTGCTTACTATATTAACCTGCAATGTTAAATGGGATTCTTGTATTGTTATTTGTCTACTTGTACTCACTGAATTTGTGCGCCCCTTGAGGGACTTGAAGTAGAAGGGGGTAGAAATAGCTTAAGCTACTCTATCCCTCTGAGATGTATTTCTTTCTTGTCTCAAAAACATACTTGAACTGGATCTTGGCCTGGGTTCGTATCACCGGGGAGAATTGACTGGGCACTAATCCTTAACTGTAGCCTCTGTTCACCCAGCAGTGAATGGGTACCTGGTTGTTAAATGATTTGACGGGGCGTAACTGGCCGACCCCTCACAGTGTTCAAGAGAGAACTGGATAAGCACCTCCAAAGGATACCTGATCAACCAGGCTGTGACTCATACGTCAGGCTGCGAGCAGCCGCGTCCAACAGCCTGGTTGATCAGTCCGGCAACCAGGAGTCGTGGTCGACGACCGGGCCGCGGGGACGCTAAGCCCCGGAAGCACCTCAAGGTAACCTCAAGGTAAGGTAAGGTCGTATTCCAAGGAAACGTAGGATTGAGGACCAGATAGATGTATTAAGAATCTATGGCTTTACAAGTGTAATAAATCTTGTATAAATAATACAAAAAACTGCCTAAAGCCACTAATACGAACAGCGTTTCGGGCAATCACAGCTCGGAGCAGATTTTGATTATGTTATTATTGTATTATTAACAAGCATTTTGGGTTGACACCAGTGTGTTACTGCCATATTCTAGAACTGTCGCAGAGGTAGCTGTAAGTTCTCTTAATATCTCAATCTTACATGATGGTTAATTATACATGGAGACAAATTATGAGATGCGAGTACTGAGTCTGGTCCATTAAATTGTAAGAGACAACTTTAGGCAGAGGAGAATTAGGAAGAGTACCCGGCGGTGCCCGGGACATTTGTCCTGGTTACATCGCACGTTGCACAATATCCTTTAATTCGTTGTCTTCATCTACTTCAGACACTGAACAATTTACCTGAATTTACCTTTATAATAATAGTTAATTGTGTCGGGGGACAGGCAACCAGAGTGTATGCATACACGTTAGGCTTATATAAAGGTCTCCCACCCCTCAAGGTCGAATTACTGATCCCATCCAGGGTGCAACCCCACAGCCGTCCTCATAAAAAAAGGTCAAAGTTCATTCCACGCACCCGCTAACCCCCCTCCCCCTATTTATGAATGAAAACGGGTTTACACACTTTTTTTTGTTTACCTCGCTCCCCAACTGATGACGTTCGAACACTTCCGGAACAAGTGCTTCGCTGACGACTTTTGTTCGAACCACAACGCTGTAAATGCAGCCCGTCCTCCAAACAAAGGCCCCAAAGTCCATTCCATCCACCCGCCAAACCCGCTGTCCATTGATCCAGACCACTTATTTAAAGGGTCAGATGTAACACAAAAAAGGTACAATGGTTTCAAGATCAACAAGCCACAATGTAGGACAGAAAACATGAGATTCCTTTTGTGCGTCGGGTGAAACAAAACACCATAGGCGATATAAGATTTTATTAATTTTAAATATTAATAATAATATATTTGCAACGGCAAATTGCATGGAATTGTTGCAACTGAAGCTGCTGAACGTTTTTGTAGCTTCGCGGTTGCTAGTAAGTTGCAACTGCGGTTGCATCCTATGGTGCGCATGTGCAGGGATACATGTACAGGGGCCTGGTAGCCTGGTGGACAGCGCGCAGGACTCGTAATTCTGTGGCGCGGGTTCGATTCCCCGCACCAGGCAGAAACAAATGGGCAAAGTTTCTTTCACCCTGAATGCCCCTGTTACCTACCAGTAAATAGGTAACTGGAAGTTAGTCAGCTGTCACGGGCTGCTTCCTGGGGTGTGTGTGTGGTGTGGAGAAAAAAAAGTGGTTAGTAAACAGTTGATTGACAGTTGAGAGGCGGGCCGAAGGAGCAGAGCTCAACCCCCGCAAACACAAGTAGGTGAATGTTAAGTGACCTTAATAACTATACTTGTATACATAGTCTATGTAAGTAGGAGCACATGCACCCGAACATAGTAGTATGTAAATAAAGTATACGAGGTTAGAGAATTCATCCCAAAATTATAAATGGTGTATTTAGCAATAATAACGAAAAATTCATATCGCCTGCTTCCTGTCATTATCGATACCACTAGATATCATTAGACACGAAGTTCTGGTAAATATTGTTAGATGCAACCGTAGAACTTGCCAATTAAGGTACTGTGAGATATTTTGATTGAATCGACTCAAGTCACGAGAATGGTCCAGGACGGACCGAAACGTCGTCGTCCCTTCACCTTCTAGTGTGTGTGGTTTGGTCAACTTACTTTAGCCACGTTATTGTGACTCATCGCCTGCATACTGTGAGATATCTCTCTATTCACAGAGTTACAGAAACAAGAGAGGAAAGACCTAGTAACAAAAAGCATTTATTATAAACTCCGCAACATAACTGTTAGATATTTTCTCAAGTCAAAATAAAAAGAAAGACATGAAAATACTTTCCTATATTACAAACCACATCATCAAATTTACAGCTGACACAAACATTTATGTTAACGTAGGAAATGATAATGCTATTGAAGCCTTACAAAGAAATCTACATGAACTCCACAACTAATCAAAAGACTGGCAAATGCTTTTTAATATTGATAAGTGCAAGACCCTGCAAGTGGGGCATAACTAACAACCCACGACACAACTACCAAATTAATAACATTACATTACAGCACATTGATGAAGGAAAGGACCTTTGAATCAAAGTCCACTACACAATGAAAGTTGCACAGCAGGTTGGGGCAGCAGAGCCGGTCGGCCGAGCGGACAGCACGCTGGACTTGTGATCCTGGGTTCGATCCCAGGCGCCGGCGAGAAACAATGGGCAGAGTTTCTTTCACCCTATGCCCCTGTTACCTAGCAGTAAAATTGGTACCTGGGTGTTAGTCAGCTGTCACGGGCTGCTTCCTGGGGGTGGAGGCCTGGTCGAGGACCGGGCCGCGGGGACACTAAAAAAAAAAAGCCCCGAAATCATCTCAAGATAACCTCAAGAAGCAGTCAAAAAAGCTAACCAAACCCTTGGAATAATCCAGCATACATTTGATTTTCGCCAACAGAACCTAAACACCTAACCTAACCCATGGCTATATATATGCACAATATGCTAATATATTATAATAATACGTACGATTAGAACTGAATATGCCGAGTACTACATTCTTGCGGTTAAGAGGTGAGGTAAATCCAAAGCGGCTGTACTGGAGTTATTTGACTCACTGTGGAAATTATATACTGTCGTCTATTCATGTTGTTGTTATAGATTCAGCCACTCGGAACAAGTTCCAAGTAGCACGGGCTATGGTGAGCCCGTAACTTACCTGGCACAGGAGCGGGGCAAGTAGCATGGGCTATGGTGAGCCCGTAACTTACATGGCACAGGAGCGGGGCAAGTAGCACGGGCTATGGTGAGCTCGTAATGGACTTACCTGGCACACGAGCCTTGCTGGGAATGTCGTGCGTCTATTCGATGATGATGATTGATGAAGATTAAGCCACCCAAAAGGTGGCACGGACATGAATAGCCCGTAAGTGGTGGCCCTTTTGAGCCATTACCAGTATCAAGAGCTGATACTGGAGATCTGTGGAGGTGCGACTGCACCCTGCGTGACGGGAGATGTCTCCGTACGTCTATTCGAGAGAGAAGATTAAGCCACCCAAAAGGTGGCTTGGGCATGAATAGCCCATAAGTGGTGGCCCTATTGAGCCATTTCCAGTATCAATAGATGATACTGGAGATCTGTGGAGGTGCGACTGCACCCTGCGTGACGGGAGATGTCTCCCGTGGTACGTCTATTCGATTGATGATTGATGAAGATTAAGCCACCCAAAAGGTGGCACGGGCATGAATAGCCCGTAAGTGGTGGCCCTTTTGAGCCATTTCCAGTATCAAGAGCTGATACTGGAGATCTGTGGAGGTGCGAATGCACCCTGCATGGCGGGAGATGTCCCCCTTGTGAATGTGTTATGAAGATGAAGCCACCCAAAAGGTGGCACGGGCATGAATAGCTCGTAAGTGGTGGCCCTTTTGAGCCATTACCAGTATCAAGAGCTGATACTGGAGATCTGTGGAGGCGCGACTGCACCCTGCGTGACGGGAGATGTCTCCCGGACCAAGTGGTGACCAGATGGAGTACGTCTTGTAACGGTCCTATTGTTACGTAAAGTATGGTGACAAATAAACACAGACACTAAGATACTATATATATATTTGGTCGAATATACAGAAGTACACAGGTGATACTTTGGTGTGAGTTGAGCGCACTGAGCGTTGGTACAGTATCTCGCAAGTGTCTGCTCTAGACCACACTTGAAAGTAGACTCTGGTTAATGTTTGCTATTGCTGCTTATATGCCCGGGCAACGCCTCACCTCATTCATCTCCAAAGGTTGACAGGAATATTAACAAAGCATTTGGAGCGAGTATATTATTGGGATAATCTACTCGCTACAGAACTCCCCCTCCCAGGGGATGAAAGGAAAAATACTTGATCAAGGAACTTAGCTGGTCGGTGAATTGTACGCCCTGCTCGCGTTACATAACCATCAAAGTTAACTTCCTCCTCTTCGCTGATGTCATCTAACTGGGGTCGTAGGGTGGGAGGTCGCACAGGATCGTCCGTCGTCGTAGGAGGCGGTGCTGCTGGTAACTGTGGTCGAAAAGTGAACTGCGTAGTCGGCGGATGTGTCTCTGGATTTAGCAGTGTCGCAGACGTTGAGACGAAGCCTGGAGCAGAGCAGAGAGCTGAGTGAGGCCGGAGTCGTGGAGCTCTATGTGGGAGAGCGTGGCGGCTCGATTGAGAATTGTGAGTGTCTAAACTCGGGGAGCGAGAGCGTACTTGGCGGCTCGATTGAGAATTGTGAGTGTCTAAACTCGGGGAGCGAGAGCGTGGCGGCTCGATGCGGTCGTAGTCTGCTGTCTGCTCTGTGTCGAAGCTGTAGCGTCTTGGGTTGATTAGGACTGTACACGCCGAGTACTACATTGTTGACTGTGGAAATTGTAGTCTGGTACTAAAAGATGTAGGCAGTGTGTGGACAAGCTCGGTGTAGCAGGAGAGAAGAATGTGCATAATTGTTGCGTCCTTGGGTCGCTGGTGGAGCATTTAGATCCGGGGCGGATGGGCTCGGGCACCAGGACATTAGGAGGTAATGTAGGCACGTAGTTAGGACAACGAGGTAATCACATCTAGAGCTGAATTGTCCTGAAGGCGACGAAGTGTCGGAAACGCAAGCTGTAGGTCCTGTACTGCGCAAAGGGCTTGAGTCGCCGAGTATCAAAATGCAGTGAACGTGTAGATGAATCTGATGACAGAGCAGCTGTCGTGGGCGTAGGACAAGCAGTGTCCTGGCAGCGACGGAGAGTCGGCAGGACAAGCTGAAGATCCAACATGATGTAATCATTGATGAGGCTGTCAGATGAGTGAGTAACGATCGTGGAGCAGCGAGCCGTAGTAGATGAAAATGCAGAGACGATCGCGATGAAAATCATAGCTGTGGCGAGGGTGTTGGCAGCGTTCCATCACAACTAACAGTAACAGTAGAGGTCCAGTGAGAGTCCATGTTGTAGTCCATCGTGGCTGGGTATCGTCGAAACTTCGTGAAGGTCGAAAATAGCCTCCATCTGCATGAACCAAAATTCTGGCTCATCTGCGTTGTATGCTGGAAACCTGGTAGATAAATCCATGACGAAGATCTAGTTTGTGACTAGGTGTTCTTTTCACTCACTGGGTCACCAATGTAACGGTTCTATTGTTACGTATATTATATATATAATATATGAACGTGTAGTATATAGATTAGAAGATTAATAGTAGAATTATAGTAGAAGATTAAGTATGGTGACAAATAAACACAGACACTAAGATACTATATATATATTTGGTCGAATATACAGAAGTACACAGGTGATACTTTGGTGTGAGTTGAGCGCACTGAGCGTTGGTACAGTATCTCGCAAGTGTCTGCTCTAGACCACACTTGAAAGTAGACTCTGGTTAATGTTTGCTATTGCTGCTTATATGCCCGGGCAACGCCTCACCTCATTCATCTCCAAAGGTTGACAGGAATATTAACAAAGCATTTGGAGCGAGTATATTATTGGGATAATCTACTCGCTACAGTCTATTCGATTGATTGATTGATGAAGATTAAGCCACCCAAAAGGTGGCACGGGCATGAATAGCCCGTAAGTGGTGGCCCTTTTGAGCCATTACCAGTATCAAAAGCTGATACTGGAGATCTGTGGAGGTGCGAATGCACCCTGCATGACGGGAGATGTCTCCTTTGTGAGTATGTTAAGATGAAGATGAAGCCACCCAAAAGGTAGCACGGGCATGAATAGCTCGTAAGTGGTGGCCCTTTTGAGCCATTACCAGTATCAATAAAAGATACTGGAGATCTGTGGAGGCGCGACTGCACCCTGCGTGACGGGAGATGTCTCCCGTCTACGTCTATTCACTTCAAGCTAGCTTATATTTGGTGACTACACCTCATTACCTGTAATTGAGGAAAGGATTATACCTTCTGTAATTAGTGCTAATTAGTTATGCCATTAAGATAATGAGAGACTGGAGCGAGTATAATGTTTACTCGCTACAATTTTAAGGAAATGAAAGTAGTGATTAAATTATATAAATCTCTGATGTGCCTCCCATTTGGATTGCTGTATCCAAGCTATGTCCTCATCTTTACAAGGACATAGCTGCTCTGGAGAAGGTGCAACACCGGGATAGATGAAATTGTTTATGTAATAATCTAAGATGAGGTCTGATAAAGACCTTTTGTGTCCTCTGTAATGCTTTTGCGCTACCGCTCACAGGATGAGTATGGGGTGCACAATAAACTAGCCGTCTTCGGCGGCAACAATAAAAAAATCATTGAATTTTTTAAAATACTGAACAATTTGGAGGATGTTGATCCCGATTTTTTTTCAAAGGTCATATATAACACAAACATGGAGCAGTGGTTTCAAGCTCATCAAGCCACAATGTAGGACTGAGAACAGGAGATTCTTAATCACCCACAAGGTTATGAACCCATGGAACCGCCTACCCGCCGAGGCCGTAAATGCCTAAACTTTGTTAACTTTTAAAGTACAGCTGGAATAGATCATCAAGGCATCAAGGGGGGAACCTTCGTCAATCCGCCGACTTCCTGTCCTCCTGATGGCCACTAATGTTATTGGTTCTCAGGTAAATTCAGGTAAAATATCAAGAGTATTAACCATAGAAAACGTAACCATTGTAATAATAATAGAAGCGAGTAGAAACGTGACGGTAAAATCAACACGAAAACCTTAACCATCATGCTTGGAGAGAAAGCTTTAGAGCTTATTAAAGAGCTAGACAGATCTAAAGATGGCCAGTTACCAGCATTTAATGTAAGTTAAAACAAATTAAATATGTTTTCAGTGCCTCCCTGCTTGTATAATTTTTTCAAATAGTGTTTACTTCTTCGAGTGTCTTACACCTCTTGCTACTAGTGCTTCAAATGCTGTGTGAGTGTAGTGCTTGAGAGCCTGTGGTGTAGTCTGGACTTGTAGGGCTTGCAATTGTATCTGTTGCTCCTTGCAAGCCTGTAATGCTTGCAAGGAGCAACAGCCTCCAGCTCAACATGGGTCCACTGTCCTAGGTTCGTATCCTGGCCGGGGAGGATTGACTGGGCGCAAATCCTTAACTGTAGCCTCTGTTTAACGCAACAGTAAAATGGGTACTTGGTTGTAACAACGATTCTTCGCGGCGGGGATCGTATTCCAGGGACCTGCCCGAAACGCTACGCGTACTAGTGGCTGTACAAGAATGTAACAACTCTTGTATATATCTCAAAAAAAAAAAGTCATAATGTAGGATAAAAAACCGGAGATGTTTCTTCCCCCATGTGGTAATAAAGCCATAGAATTGCCAGCCCAACGAAGCTGTATACTGTATATATAACCAAGATAATACTCAAGTTTATAATTCAGCTGGAAAAAATCCTTAGGAAATAGTAACCTCAAGGTTACTACTTTGATTTAATTATAGTAGTTGATTGTTTTGTTGCTTTCAACTTTTCTGGTGTTTTTTTTTCTTGGAGTAGAATCTGTGGTGAAATGGTAAATGCAATAGGGTCACAGCTGAAAGGTCCAGAATTCAATTCCTTCTGCAGGACAGATGCATTTGGGGGCAATGTTTGTTTTCACTTGATGCCCTCTTTATCCTAGCAATAATTACGTACCCTAGAGCTAAGCAACTGTTGTGGGTTGCATCTTGGAAAAGGTCAATAGATGACCTATGGGGACCTTGAAAATCCTAACAGGCTTTATGTCCCCAACTATGGAAAACCATACATGATCCCTGCGCTTTCCTCATCCTGCAGAGGGAGCCAGATACTGGTGCTGGCTCCTGGTAGGCAGGCTTGGTCTTGGAGGATGGTGTGATTTACTAAGGTTCGAGCCTTAGTAAATCACCAGTGCTTAAGCTCAGAGAGCTATTGAGAGACCCACACAAAAAAATGGGTATTTCATTACATTCAGTGATTGATTTTTACTATATTACTGTATTTGTCTAGGGGATTAATTTATTAATTTTCTCAAATGTATCAAATCATTGCACAGTACAGAATTTTATTTCCATTTTTTATATTCAAAATAGTTGTATATAACTATAAAAATATATTTATACGGTATTATAATAGGCCATTTTTTATTGTCTTTTTTCTTTAAAATTTTTAAGATATCCTGGTCTGGCATACAGTATATAGTTAAGTACAGCTTAGGTCTACTGTATTAAGGTTTGGTATTCCTTTATCAGGAAGAGGATGTACTTTTTCATATATTGATATCACATGCTTTCTGGTACAGTACTTCAATATTGTTAACATAAAATAATTGTATATACATACATTATCTTAAAAACTTTGTCCATGTAATTTTAGGAGGACTCTATTAGAATGGTGCTAGAGGAGATGACCACACTCTTCGAGCAAAATCAGCGGGATGTGTAAGTTACTCTCAAGACTTTTATATTATCTTTCTTATAATGTGCCTTTGTATCAGGTAGCTTACAACCAGTTATATGCTACAAGTGCTGTATATAAATGATTTTGTAAAAATAAATGTATCTTAAACCATATTTAAAAAATCTAAATTCAGTGCATCCTTGCTTTAACAAACTTCACTCTAACGAATTCATGGATGGTCCAAACAAAATGTATTCGGTACAAATTGGTCAGTGGAACATAGAAATGTTTGATTAAGTGAGGAGTGTTTATCCAAGCTGTCGCTGAGACCAAACATTGGGTGGTGGCTGTGTTACCATCCATGATCCATCTAATCAAAATGTAAACTATTATACAACACTTGAAAACTTTTCATCGAACTTAAATATACAATATTTTACAAATTATATAAAATACTAGTATTTAAACAAATATACAGGCAAAACTGAATATCATTAAGGTTCTAGGTGTTATTAATGTTCATTTTTACCCATGAATTTTATTTTAAGATCAAATATTTATAAAATACATAAAACTTTAACAAAAATACTAAAATATGACCAACTATTATGCAAACACTGTATTTTGGCAGTCAATAAAACCTCAAAATTATACACAAAATTAAAAAGAAAAAGTTGTAAAAGTGCTTGGATGCCACGAATTAATACATGTGCTCAAACACCATTGCTAGTTGGTTGGCTTCATCATAGACAATACAGTATTGTCAATTATTGTATTAATTGCACTATAATTTGCCTTTTTTTATTAGCAAGGTGTCTTACTGGAGCAATCGTAATGCTGAAGATTGTAATAAAAATTGGAATACAGTGGTACCTCGGAATGCGAGTGTCCCTGTATGCGAGTTTTTCGGAAGACGAGCAGGATTTACTCCAAAAATATGTCTCGGAAGGCGAGGGTTACCTCGGGACGCGAGTTTGTTGATACGTGTACAGGCCGACTGGCGCGTGGTGGCATGGCGATCGCGCCTCAGTTTACCAGTGTCTCGTGTCCAGTGACTATCCCACCTGAATTCTTCACAAGGATTTACAGTTTTTTATCGTTTTTTTGGCCATTTGAGCATAAAAGTTGTCATTATATATCTTGCCATGGGTCTCAAGAAAGCCATTGGTAAGGTTCAACCTAAGAAAATAGCTGTGAGTAGAGGCAGTAGAGGATGTCCCTTCTTGATTAAGAAAATGTGTGAAGTATGGGAAGAACTGCAAAGTTTTGTTGAAAAAACTCACCCAGATAAAGCTGTAGCAGGCCGTTGCATTGACCTTTTAAATGATAATGTGATGTCTTACTACAGACAAGTGTTAAAATGTAGGGAAAATCAAGTGTCATTAGACAAATTCTTAGTAAAACAAGCAAGTCCTAGTGGTATGCAGGCAAAATGTGCCAGAGTGTGCATACCAGTGAAGTCCTCACTGCCTGATGTGATAATGGAAGGGGATTCCCCTTCCAAACAGTAACCCCTCTCTTCCTCCCACCTCCTCACCATCTTCCATACGCCTACAGCATTCAACAGCAAGGTAAGTAATAACTTGAACATAGTTTTGTAGGTTTATTTAGATGAATTAGGTATAAAAATTTAGTTTGATGTGGGGTTTTTGTTGTAGTCAGGAACGGATTAATTCATTTCCCTTTATTTCTTATGGGGGAAATTAGCTTCGGAATGCGAGTTTTCGGAATACGAGGCGTCTCCAGGAACCAATTAAACTCTTAAACTGAGGTATGCCTGTACATTTCCGATGAGGTGAAAATTAACAATAAAATTAAACAAAGAAGTACCTAATTTTATCTTCATAGTATCTCACCTTGTGCTGTTAGCTCACAGTATCTTGTGCTGTTAACTCTCATAGTACAGTATCTTGTGCTGTTATCTCTCACAGTATTTTGTGTTGATAGCTCACAGTATCTTGTGCTGTTAACTCTCACAGTATATTGTGCTGTTAACTCACACAGTATCTTGTGCTGTTAACTCTCACAGTATCTTGTGCTGTTAACTCTCACAGTATCTTGTGCTGTTAGCTCACACAGTATATTGTGCTGTTAACTTTCACAGTATCTTGTGCTGTTAACTCTCACAGTATCTTGTGCTGTTAACTCTCACAGTACAGTATTGTATCTTGTGCTGTTAACTTTCACAGTATCTTGTGCTGTTAACTCTCACAGTATCTTGTGCTGTTAGCTCACACAGTATATTGTGCTGTTAACTTTCACAGTATCTTGTGCTGTTAACTCTCACAGTATCTTGTGCTGTTAGCTCACACAGTATATTGTGCTGTTAACTTTCACAGTATCTTGTGCTGTTAACTTGCACAGTATCTTGTGCTGTTAGCTCACACAGTATCTTGTGCTGTTAGCTCACACAGTATATTGTGCTGTTAACTTTCTCAGTATCTTGTGCTACTAACTTAACTAGTATTTTACAATCTAGAAGCACAACCTAATCAGTGAAATATATTGTATTACCGATTTTTGCTGATGTAGTAATTATGTTAATTCAAAATTAAATATTCCTCCTCTGTATAGCTTTAGGGTCTGCACAAAATACATGTTACGTATGTTAGAAGCTTTGCAAGAATGTTCCACTAATCACCAAGGTATGTACTCTCCCAACCCATTGTACGTTACCTTGAGGTTACCTTGAGGTGTTTCCGGGGCTTAGCGTCCCCGTGGCCCGGTTGTCAACCAGGCCTCCTGGTTGCTGGACTGATCAACCAGGATGTTGGACGCGGCTGTTCGCAGCCTGACGTATGAGTCACAGCCTGGTTGATCAGGTATCCTTTGGAGGTGCTTATCCAGTTCTCTCGTGAACACTGTGAGGGGATTGCCAGTTATGCCCCTTATGTGTAGCGGAAGCGTGTTGAACCTTCCATTGTACCTTCCATTGTATAAATAAATCTAAAGTTCCTGGTGGTGGTTGGTGGGAGGTCCACGTGGATAGAGGTACAATCGTTAGGTTCAGTAGTATCAATATGTAGGCACCAGAGAGCTACTGTAGTCCTTCCAGAAAATTGTGTTTCATATCATCACTTAACACTTGATATATGGTTTTTTCTCTGTTAAAGGAATGCAACAGTAGCTGGTGATGTTCGATTCTTTTCTGGAGTTCATTTACGCCATGCTGCTCTAGAGAGAAATAAAAGATGTTTGTTGGCTTATCTGTAAGTAATTAAAAATATTTGTCTTATGAAGTAAAAGGTGCATTATATTGTCTGGATTTAATCAGATTACAATTTCAGGTCTGTTGCAAGTAATTAGAAATACAAAATTGGGTAGTTTTCACAAATTAATTTGTGTTTGATAAATTTAAAGTTCAAGGTTTTGTCTGCTTGTTTTAATTATAATTACAATACCATAACAGAAAGTGTTGCAAAACAAAACAGGTTTGGAACCATCTCTTAGCTGTGTATTAATTTGTGCTTTATTATTTATATTGTTGAAACTTTCTGAAATATTAGGTAAAGTTAAATGTTTATTAGAGTAAATAGGATATAAAATAATTATTGAACACTTTTTTGTCCAAACTGAACCACCTTTTCCAGTTTCTCACTCATATGGAAAATGTTTGTTCATTTTATGTTGATATACTGTATCTATTTATAGGGCATGAACATTGGTAGTGTTATTAAAAGATTAAAATTTAAGTGTTTTTGATTAACAATCACATAAATAAATCAGGTAATAATGGTAGGGGCTCTGGGATCTCTATGGTAATTTTCATAGATAAGTGATGTTGGGTTTACTACACCTGGGGAAAAAAATCTGTGCTTGGTCATGCTTTATTTTTATTACTTTTAACCCCCTAACATGTGGCTATTGATAGGAATGCATGTCTGCCTATGTTTGGGAAAAAAATTTACTGTATATATTTTTTTCCACATTCTGTAGAATTATTAATTTGGTTTTAAAAGTTATGGAAAACTGGAAATAAATTTAATATCTACATCATGTTCCCATCCACTCAAGATTCAAGGATTGGCTGGGTTTCAGAGTAGGGCACCTCTTGTATAATTTTCAGGCTCTTCTGAGGGGTTGAACAGGACATTCACCAAATTGACCTGGAGTGATATTTCAGGCTTTGTTCTGGCCTGCCTCAATGTCTAGCTGGTCTGGTTACCCAGTCATTCTTCTTGTCAACTGGAGGAAGTCTCAGTTTGTGCCTTTTTTGATTCAGATTTGGTTGGGCCTAGTCTGGGATACCAGGATAGCCGCCTCCTTCATATTACATTCAGCCCTGTAGTAGCTGAGACTTTGTCTCAATCTGATGTTGCATAGTGTCTGATATTTCTGTCACTCTCTCTCTAGCATCTGGGGAGCCTGAAATTTTCCCCGAGTGGTTTAACCCATTGGTCATATCTGGCTGAAGGTTTTGTACCACTTTCTTTGGTGTCTTTTTCTCGTTCGGCTAGCTCAGGATTTTCTTGATTCGTCATTTTTTTCTTTTTGTGCCTTTCAGTTCCATGGTGCCTTTTCCTGCTTTTGTTCAAGCTGTTAATAGATGCATCAGTCCTCAGCTGGGGGGTTATTCTCCAGTTGTCACCATGCTGGTTTGGGAGTTTGTGATAGCCTGGTTGACTGGTACGTGTGTCCCAAGGGGCTGCAACTATCTGGCTTCACTTTACACAACGGTTGTCTGTTGTCTCAACTGGTGAGGCTCGGTTCTTTTTCGTTCCCCTGTGGAGCTGGAATTTGCAGATAGCACAGTTTCTCTTCCTAGGATTTAATCCTTAATGCCTGTCATGTTTGGGATATATCAAATATGGTTGTGGGTGATCTCTTCTGCCTCCATCCAATATTGATGAAGTGGTTGGTGGATGTGGCATCCTTCCTCTGGCTTTACGAGATGTTCAGCTTTCCACAGATGTTCTTCTGTATGGAATTAGAGGCTCCCAGTCTATGTACAGCTGTAGCTCCATTACCTGACTGCGAAGCATTCGCTACTGACGATTTTCGCCTCAACTGGGTCAGTGTGCTTTTCTGTACATCTTCTCTCCAATCCAGCTGCTGCTTTCCGTACTAGCCTAGCTGGCGACATATACAGACCAAGTCTTCTTCCTGGCTCTGTGGTGGCCAGTTCGACTGTTGTTTCCCGCCCTTCAAGCTCAGTCCGAAATCTCTCGGCTCTACGGAGCTAAAGTGGCAGACTTTCTCTTGTTGCATTTGTGGCTTTCTTCATGGTGGCAGTATGAGGTTGTATGGCAGGCCTTCTGTCTCTTTCCTTCGCTTTGGTGTTTGTCTTCTGTGTCAATTCCTGTGGTGTTGTCATTTCTGTCATGACTTTTCTTGGACTGACATTTGATGTCTTATACTGCAACATCCTATTGTGAATGAGTTGTCTGGTCGACTGAGACCCCTGGGTTACACATTTGTTTGCATTGTCATCATCAGAGTTATACATTGTTTTCCAAGCTGTTGCTTGTTTTGGAGTGCACTCTCTTTACTAGTGGGATTTTCTTGATACTTTGTTATCTCTGATCTTCAGACTCATCTTCACTTCTTTGTAAAGGCCAGATTCTGTTCCTAGTCCCCTGTTTGCATTTGTGGGTCCCAGAGGCTTAGTGTGTTATCCAAGGCATGGTTGCTTCCAGGTTGCAGCATCAGGGAGCTACTAAGTAGCTCACCAAAAACACACACAAAAGTGACATTATTATATTCAACTCTAGTCCTTTGTTTATTCTGCACATTTGCAAATGTTGCTTTTCAATCTTGTTGAAATTGCTCACATTTGTGGCAAACAGTGGAGATCGACAGCTTTGTTCGTTGATTGATAAAATAAAGCAAGTTAGCCAATATAAATGTAAGATGCAAGTGTATTATTATTAATTACAGATACAACAGGTTGGAGAGAGTTAAAGCCATGCGATGGGAATTTGGTAGTATTTTACCTGCTGAAATTAGAGCCAATATATGTGAACCTGAGGTCAGTCAATTTCTGGTTTCCGTATACCCATCAGAGTGTTATTATTTTTGTATGTTTGATACAATCTATTTAAAGATTTTGTTTAATCTTTTACATTTTGTCATGTGAATGGTCGTGCTTTTACCACCCAGAATTATGTTGTTAATACATGTTAAAACTATATATATATAGTATTTCTAGCAGAATACTGAAGGGTAACATACAATATGAAAATTAGCATTTTATACTCAAATACACATTTACTCTTACTATTGATATTACAGGCGAGTTTCTGGCTTGTGCCTCCTAGCCATTTTTCAGATTTTGCCAGAATTATTCATAAATATATCTTCTTCAAATGTTTATTCCTATTTGTTTCTAATTAACTCATAAAGTTGATAATATGTTTTAAAGCCTATTTAACAATGATTATTACAGTACAGTACCCAGTTTTCCGCAGCATAAGTATGAAAGAAATAAGAGAGTAATATAGAAAAGGATGATTATAGACACTCAAAATACACCTCATCCATTCACTATATCTATATTACATGCTGCAACATCATGTAAAATCAACACCATGACACTCTTGTCCTCCTCCTTCCCTCACCCAGTATCGTCTCTTGCTGATGATACCCAGGTGACGTAATGCAACCTAACTTAACCTGATCACCTTAACACTTTCGCTCGGGGATGACGCAGCATTGCGTCATCCGTTTACTGGCGGTAATGCCGGGGATGACGCAGCATTGCGTCATCCACTTTAAAAATTCGCCAAAAATCAGGTTTTTATCCGATTTTTTGGGGACTGGTTTTAAAATGTGCGCCGATGTCTTCCCATTTTCTTTGTTGAGCCTCGTGGCCCTCAGGCGGCTTGGCACATGCCGTGGGCCCATTGTCTTTGCTCCACTGTTGTGACCAATGTCGCCTCCCCTCGCATCTCAAACGTGTGAACATTTCGGCTATTTCCCGTGGCTATATTTCTTACTGCGGCTTTAGAAACTATCTACGCTTACTCCACGATGGATAGTAATCATGAACAAGGCCCTTCCAGGAAGAAAATTGCAAAAGAAAGGCTTGAAAAGGGTGGGAATTGGGAGTGTAGCAGGAAGGCCTCTGAGCACTCACTCACGGCTAACGCGTGGCCCGTCTTCAACTCGTCGGCGGTTGGAGCGTGACCAGGTTTTTTTTTTATATGCTAATGTTCCTCTAGAGAATTTTATTACGAACCCATTGAGACCAAATTGAAAGACCTAGGACAAAAATTGAGGTGACCAGAGTGAAAATAGTGAAAACATTTTATCACGTTTGCGCGCTCCCGGGTAACTCGTTCGCACTTTCTCTGTTTGCTGCGGGTAATTAGCTGGGCTTTTGGAGTTTATATGCATTTAGTGTTGTAGAGAATTTTATTGCGAACACAATGATACCAAATTTAATCTCGTAGAAGGAGAATTGAGGTGACAAAGTTGAAGAGAGTATACACTTTTCGAAATTAACGCGCGCTTCCGTGACACGCTGGGGCCCATATCGCCCTGTCGAGGGGTGGCGCGCGGGGTGAGCGAAAGTGTTAAGCAATAACGGCTGCTTAAACACCACTGCCATATGCAAGGAACAGTTTGGAGCTCAAAGTGATGCTTGGGGAATTATCTGCATGCACATAAAAACTGACATGTGTTGTAAAAAACATTGATAAACGTGTGCATGGTCAAGAACCGGCACTCTGTGGGATGTCTCACTCTGAATGAATGCACCAAACAGAGTCAGGCACATTCACCAAACTCACTGGCTGCACTTAACACCACAAAATGTGAGTAATAAAGTGTATGAAAATAATTACAGTTTTCTTATTCAACAGTCACACCACACATTCATATGCGCGCTTCTTCTTAGCTGTTGCTAAATGCATCTAGAGATGCATCTAGAGTTAGCACTTGTAGCTGTCAAGGGTGATGATACTCGGGAGCTCAAGAGAGCACAAGTCCTGTTCAATGCATAGCTTCACCGTGAATGACCACAGGAACCTCAAAGCGAAATGCTGAATTCATGTCTTGTATCACTTAAGTTACAGGCCTTTTCCTAGAGCACCAATCAGAATGCAGTTTCAACCATACGTATCTGATTGGGTGAACTCTGGGCTTCTCTGGCATTGTCTGGGAGTGGGAGGAAGGGTTTACCAAAACTGTTAGTGAGGGTCAGATCACCTGTGACTTTTTCTCCTACCTGCTACACCCAACAGCTAAACTTGCGACTGTGAGAACCACCCACGATCATTCAGACGAGAAGTATAACTGCCATCTGCTAGTATAATCAGATGTCGTTTGTCACCACACACACTAGACCTGAACTGCTCGTGCGGTCCCCAAGCCATAGACACCCTACATAAAGTACTTGTGTCCTTTGATAAAGGCATTAACCAATGCTTAGTTCACTGCACAGCACAGCAGTCATGGGGTACAAGTCTAGCTGAGAGATCACCAATCTCTCACACTATCTCCCACCTACCAGGCATGGCTTATTATTATCCCATATTCACAATGTATTTGCTTGTACGGTACTATCTCTCTGATAAGTCAAATAAATAATTTCACTTTTGCATTCCAATAAAACTTAATAATATGTAGAAAACTTGCAGTAATTTAATTGTGTTACGTAATGAACATTAAACCATGAGTTCAGAAATTATTTCTAATTTAAATTTTTGTATTAATGGCTCTGAAAAGTATCCAATTTCTGGCATCAGATCATTAGAAAAATACAGTAGTAGTACTGTATGTGCTTCTGTTCATTATGGGGTCTCAATGAATGCAGTAGTTGTAGAACTAGAAATCTATTCTGATTTCTCTATCTGAGGAAAGTACTACTGTAATATCAGTCTCAGATGTTGACAGTGTACTAACAGGGCAGCTTGGACACATCTTATTTGGGCCCTATGCTAAGGTAATCTGCTATAGTCTTGTCAAGTAAAGCTGCCTTCTCACACTGTAAAGGCTTGTCATAAACCAACACAAACATGTAAGCTAATGTTTATGTCTGTTGAATTCTGTATGGCAGAATACACATGTGAGTTGGACATTAAGTACAGCATGCCTTGTTTGCTGTATGAGTGACACTTTTAATGTTTTGTTTATTTTTCAGGGTTCCATAGATACAAGCAAAAGTCTAAGGAATAGTGACAAAATATTTAAGTGTCAAAATAGCAGGAGTTTGAACTACTAACACAAAATCCTAAAAGACTTTGCAGAGAAAGAAACAAGAGAGAGAACTTTTTTTTATTTTAAGTCTGTTTTTAGAGCTCCAAGAAAGATAATTTGTTCCCAACATTTCTGTTCATTTACATTTGGAATGTTTTTTCTAAATAAAAATTAAATTAATATTTCTGTGGGGAGCCCCGTCAGCTCCCTGAAACTGTCCGAACTGATATGGTGCTATATTAGTTTGGGGTCATCAATCAGAGGAGTCCTTTGCCAACAGGGGACCATGAGTCAGATAGGAGATGGGAGCAATGGCCCCTAAGCACTTTACATTTAAAGTACAGTATGTCATAATTGCCATTTCTGGGAAAGGACCCAGAAAGGTAGGCAAATCAAAACAGACCACTGTCTGATTACACATGCAATCTACAACCTAAATGATCAAAATATTTCCCCTAGCAAGAAAACAAACAAGCAACACCTTCATGTAACTAGCACTCCCGCTTGTTAACGCTAACACCCTCCTGCCCTGAAGGGGGAGGGGGTCAGTGCTAGCACCCCGTTTCCCCACCCTCTGCTTCCGGCTCCCATACGTCTGAGGGTTTCGGAGTCGGGGCGGGGTTTAGCTCAGGTGGTTTCGGGGGCTGCCCCTTCCGATTCGGGCACGGAGGTGGTTGAGCCCGATTTTCCCACCTGGGCTTCTGCTGCAGACACTGCAGCAGATTCGACTTCCTAGGGGTTCGTTGATCTGGCTCCATTCGGATTACTTTCCCATGGGTCATTTCCACCGGGGGGGCAGGGGGGTTTCTTTATTCCGTGACACTTTAGGGCTGTTCGCCTTGGGTGGACGGAGTGGACGGGTCGATGCCAATTACCTGCTTTGACTTTGCCGGACATATGGGCCCTCGAAGGTGGACCTCTTCGCGTCGGCTTGGTCTCTGCATCTTCTATTGTACTTGGCACCGTTCCCCATTTGCATGGCACGCGGTCGTTGCTTTTCTGCGGGACGGGTCGAGGTGGGGGTTCCTGTACCTCTTTTTCCCGGTCCAGCTGTTGCTCCGAGTTCTAGCTCAGCTGGAATTCTATCGGGGAGTGTGCTTCTCTTGGTTCCAAGGTGGCCAGCCCAGCCTTGGTTTCAGGCGCTGATTGCTCTGTGCCTGTACCCGGGCGATTTTCAGCAGCTTCACCGCTTTCAGCAGGTCGGGCTGGTGAGGTACCTCACTGGTTTGACTTACTCTTCCGTTCTATGTGTCTGGTTTTGCTGATGCGGGTATATCGCCATTTGTGTGGTGATCAGGTGGCTTCTTTGTTGGTGTTTCCCCTGCGGTCTTCGTTTCAGCGACAGTATGCAGTTTCTTGGTGGTCTTTCCGTCTTTTCTTTCTCTTCAGCGGTTTCGGACAGAGTTGTGTTGTCTTTTCTTTCTTAGCTTTTCTGGATTGGCATCTCATGCCAAATACTGTTGCTTCGTCTCGTGTGGCGTTGGCGAAGCCGCTGCAGCTTGGATTTGGGGTGAATGTCACTTCCGCTCTGTTCCGTAAGCACTCTCGTGCATGAACAAATCCACAAGGGCCGTGATGAGGGTTCGAACCTACATCTGAGAGGATCCCAGATGCGCCTTAATCGACTGTGCCATGACACGGTTAAAAGAACTACAACCGGGAATTCATCTGCCCTCACACGGATCCTGCAGTGTCTCCGAGACACAAACCAGGGTTTTTCACAATTTTCCCGTGCACCCGAGCTCTGTCAATAAGCTGTTCTACCTCTTTACCCTTACTTCATTACACACAATCACATCGGGGAATTGTGTAAAACCCTGGTTTATGTCTCAGAGAGACTGCAGGATCCTTGTGAGGGCAGATGAACTCCTGGTTGCAATTCTTTTGACCATGTCGTGGCACAGTCGATTATGACGCATCTAGGATCCTCTCGAACGTAGGTTCGAACCCTCGTCACGGCCCTTGTGGATTAGTTCATTTGATGCATCACGCTATTTTGATTTCTGTGTGTAACTCGCGTGCATTTTTCACCTCCAGCCTTCTCATGCCCCTTCTTGGTCTTTTTATTGAATTCTTTCCTTAACTCAATTTGTCGTGACCCCTTCGGTTTGTAATTGCTTTTGAACAGCTTTGTTTTTGTTGGTTTTGGCCTCTGGGAGTCAGGTGGGAGCTTCATGCTCTTTTCCAGCACCAGGGGTTCTGTTTGTTTGGTCCTGGGGGTTGTTTTGTAAGTTTACAGCCTCCTCCTCCTTTTCTGGCGTAGAATGAGACGGCGGGCTTCTGGAAGGGTCCGTTGGTTGTGGTTGCTTGGTTGGTTCGGCCGAGGGTGCATCATGTGCTGTGTCTGGTGGCGGCTTTACTCTGCTACCTTCGAGCCACTGGTTCTATGTCAGTTGACGAGCTCTGGGTGGTTCCCGTTTCTCTGGTTCCCTTTTCCAGGGCTTGAGTGTCTTGGGGTCATTAAGTCTAACCAGCCTGCTGGTCTACCCTCATGCCCATGATGTTCGGAAGTACTGTACAGTATGCTGCCCTTGGGGCTGTCTTTAGGAATATGTCTTGGGTCAACATTCAGGCACAAAAGTTTTGAAGGTCGAACAGGGTTCTGGCTGCCAGGTATTTTGTGACCATTCCAGGCCCTCTCCGGCCTTGTGTTGCTTTGGGGTGCCTGTCACGGCCGTTTGTCTCTTCCTCGCATTGAGACCTGCGATGCTGTCGCCTCCCGGTAAGTCCCTGTTTTTCCCTATCTTTGGGTAGTTAGCTTCAGGGAGCCAATGGTCCTCCCCCACAGAAAACCAGCGTTAAATGTAATGAAATGCCATTTTCTGAGTGAGCCCCGAAGGCTCCCTGACACCCTTCCTCCCTCCGGTCAGCAGTTTTCATGGAGTGGTAGGCTGCCGACTCACCTGAGCCAATTCCCCCTCCCCCCTTGGGGCAGGGGGATAGTGCTAACGAGCAGGAGTGCTAGTTACATGAAGAAACCAGACAGTGATCTGTTTTGATTCGCCTACCTTTCTGGGTCCTTCCCCAGTCGATGACAATTATGACATGTACAGTATTTTAAATGTAAAGTGCTCATAGGCCATTGCTCCCTGCACCTCTCTGAGGGGGGGCCAGGTTCTGGCTCGTGGTCCCACAGGCAAAGGACTCCTGTGACTGATGACCCCAAACTAATATAGCACTATATGAGGTCTGATAGCTTCAGGGAGCCTCCGGGGCTCATGCAGAAAATGGCATTTCATTACATTCAATGCTGGTTTTTAATAAATTATTTCACTAAAACAGACCTTGGTTGTAAACTTGGGGGCCCCCATAATTTTTTTTTTTCATAATTGGGCCTTGCAACTCCTAAGGCTGGCCCTGTGTAATAATAGGGATGATATGATTGGTCATTAAGGACACAGACATAATAGCAATTTTGTAACATTTGTCTTTGATTAACTATGCTGCTATGGGTTCATGTCAATATTCATATCAAGTGTTAAGCATTGCATAGTTTAATCAAGAAATAAAAAGTTTAATCTGTTTGGTTGTGCTATATGATCACAATAGCTTAGTACTTTCTCATTATTACTTGTGTCAAGTTAAGAGATTTGATAAAATGTTATATTTCAGATTCAGTGGTTCAACAGATACAACAAGAATCTTGCATTATACATGAGATCACTGGGAGAAGGAACTGGATTAGACCTTACACAAGACACTAAACCACCAAAGAATTTGTATGTTGAGGTTAGTAAGTACATCTGAATCAAGTATGAAGTAATTTAATGTCATTAAATTACTCTTGGAGGGTACATTAGTTATTACGTGACATTATCATGGCATTGAAGTTATGCACAGCTAGATAATTTAACAAATATTATATATTTTAATATGAGTTAAAACAAGTTGCACAACAGTTTGTTACTTGATAATGTATCTTATAATTGGTAGTAAATTTAAGGAGTTGCTTAACATAAATAGTGGTAAAGCAGACAGAGATGTTGATGATGGATGCGGTGGGGTGTCAGATCATGCTCTACTACATCACTCGTACTTGAAGCCCTGCTCTGGTCAAGATTATGCTCTCACTTTATAGCACCTGCTTAGTGATACACTCTAATGCTTGTCTCCTACAATTGTGCACACAGCCCAGTCACTAGGAGAAATTGGAACAGTGTAAGAGTTAAGAAAATTGCATGAGAAAATGCACAGGAGCTGTGATGAGGATTCGAATGTATGCTCTGGGTATTCCCAGGTGCACGCTCTAGACGACTATGCCATGACATGGTCAAAAGAATTGCAACCTGGGGTACTACAGTGCCCACGAGGATTCCCGAGGATTCCACTGAAGCCAAACCAAGGTTTCACACAATTCCCCCATGCACTCTGTCTCTGTCGTCCAGTAATTCTACCTCTGACACCCCTTTTTCAATACACAGAGAAATCTATGCATTTGTTTACATAAATCTGCATATAAAGAGGGGCATCAGAGGTAGAATTACTGGACCACAGAGCCAGATCACATGGGGGGGGATCGTGTGAAACCCTGATTCGGCTTCAGTGGAAGCCTCAAGAATCCTCGTGGGTACAGTAGCACCACAGGTTGCAATTCTTTTTGACCATGTCATGACGTAGTTGTTTAGAGCGTGCATCTGGGAATACCCAGTGCATGGATTTGAATCTTCATCACGGCTCCTGTGGATTTTCTCAATGATATATCACGGTAATTTGATTTCTCTGTGTAAGAAAATTGCATATTTAGATGTTTTCTGTATGTTGTGACATTTAATAGCTACTGTTGTTTTATTTTCTAGTATTGTACACTGTTTAATGTCATTTATTCTTTCCTGCATAGGTGCGTTGCCTCAAGGATTATGGTGAATTTGAGATCGAAGAGGGAGACATCGTTGTGCTTCAGAAAAACACAACCCACTACCTTCCCATGTCTCACTGCCAGCATCTTATTCGGCAAGGCATCCTTGAACAAGTGGAATGAAGATAGAAGATAACTATAAAATAAAATCATGCTTTGATGTAGACCAGTTGGCTTTGGTCACCTATGAAATGAGGAGACAAAGAGTCACAATAACGTGGACGAAGATATGATGACCAAACCACAAACCAAAAGATGAAGAGACGACGACGTTTCAATTCGTCCTGTACCATTATCAAGTCAATTGTCATTATCACTATCACATTCCATTATCACAGTCGACTTGATAATGGTCCAGAACGGACCGAAACAGTGTCGTCTCTTCATCCTCTGGTTTGTGGTTTGGTCATCACTTATGAAATAATCTTGAGGAAAGCAGAGGTAGAAGTGGTTCTTGTCCTCATACATTCTACAGGGACATTTTAAGGTCTACTCTTTCTCAACCTTACATTGTCTTTTTACAGACTGTTGAATTTTTCTATTATTCAAAATTTATATTAAATATTTCTTTTGTATTAATAACTCCTTTTTTTGGGGGTTTCACAATTGTGTATGTTTGATGGCAATCCACAGCTCATTTACACACATTTCTGAGGGCAAGCAAGTGGCAACTGTTTAATATATGTTATTGCCAAATCAACATTCAATTGCTTATGTCTTATATACTGTAGTTCCTTCAAAAAGGTAGCTGCAATATAAGGAAAAAGTTTTTGCATGAAGTGCACTCAAAAGATGTGTACATTAAGAACAAGGCAAAAAATTAAGATACTTTAGAAAATTTTGGTGAATGGGAATCAATTGCTTAGATTAAAAGCATTTGAGTGGATACTAAGAATTTTACTTTTTATACAATTTTGATAAGAGAATATACAATTTTGCAATGAAGAAGGGGAAATGTTATTGTCCTTCATTTAGTTTCGTCTTTTCCACATAGCCAACCATGACATATCACCATTAGTGTATACAACCACTACTACACTCTCCACATCCACTGCAACAACATATGACCACATACAAACACAATATGCTATCACTATCATTGCGTACTAACTCCACAGCTTACCACTATCATCACATACCACTCCTTCCACCACATACCACCCTTTCATCAGATATTGCACATGTCACTACTGCCACAAAACAAAAACCCGATCATATATTATCACATACCACCACATATGCTTATTTTTTGTATTTATGACATTTTACACATTTTGAACATACATTTGGCTTGATAGTTGTTTGAACAATTTTGGGAGGGCACCTGATGATGGCTCCTCGTGCTTGCTACCTGGGAAGCTGCACCCAATTCAATCCACTCTCTCTCTTAAGGGGTGCGAGGAGCAGGGGATCTGAGAGCACCCTAATGAAGAAAAGGTAACCAGAATGGTGGATAAACCAAAACATACAAGCAGCAAGGTAAACAAAATATAAAAAAGCAGCTCCTCCCTGTCTGGGTTTGCCCAAGCAGTGAGAAGGTGTTTGTAAGATGCAGCTGTATGATGTCTCTTAGTTGGACTATATAAGCAGACTCAAATACCTTGGCCTAGAGATTCCACTGTATGGCCACATTGAAGTTAGACTGGCTCATCTCTATCTATAAATCTATCAATTTTTGTTTAACCTCTTGTATGTATGTACTTTACCTGAATAAACATTTGAATTTTGAATTTGAATTTGAATTTGATATAACTGGCTCACCACAGATGTAAGTTGCTTGGCTTAGAGACTGGTGAAGTCCGGTTCTTGGACCCTATATCTATATGGATTGGTTCTCTATATAGAGAATATCTGTCCATCCAAGGTTGGAGGCCAGATGTTTGATGGCTAAACATGTGTGCCATAGGCCAGTTGGGGGTAAGCCCAAATGCCATGTTGTATGAAATACTGTACAGGCATCTATAGCGAATCCTGCGATTTTTGTAAAGTCTGAAATAAAATCGGGCATGTGTCTTCCATAGAATTTGGCACTGACCCCTGGTGTAACTAGTTCTTATTTCATGCCAACTAACCCTTCCTATAGTGTAGCATAGCTCCATAAATATAGCTGGACCTAAATATATTAAAAAAAAAATTATATCCTTCACTCAAAATATGTAGATGTACGTGTTCAAATATTTTAAGTTAGGTTAAGATTATCAAAAATTGTTTCTGAATATGGGAACAGAAATGAAGTAGAATACCTGTATGTAGTTAATTATTTTAATAAATAAATCGATCCTTTGGTTGCATATTTAAAATATAAGATTTGACTGTTGGAGAGAGAGGGGGATGTTGGGGGAAGAGGAGAGACAGAGGAAAATATTGGGAGTTAGTGTGAAGAAGGAAGGAGTAAGGTAACGAGGAGAGTAGAGGAGGATGTTGGAGAGAAATGTGGAGAGGGGAAAGGGGCGAGATGAGTGAGTGGGGAATGTTGAGGGAGGGAGATTGGAAGAGGGAGGGACCAAGTCCCATACAACACACACACACACACACACACAGTAGCCAGGTAGCCTGGTGGACAGCGCACAGGACTCGTAATTCTGTGGCGCGGGTTCGATTCCCGCACCAGGCAGAAACAAATGGGCAAAGTTTCTTTCACCCTGAATGCCCCTGTTACCTAGCAGTAAATAGGTACCTGGGAGTTAGTCAGCTGTCACGGGCTGCTTCCTGGGTGTGTGTGGTGTGGAGAAAAAAAAAGTAGTTAGTAAACAGTTGAGAGGCGGGCCGAAAGAGCTCAACCCCCGCAAAAACACAACTAGGTAAACACACACACACACACACACACACACACACACACACACACACACACACACACACACACACACACACACACACTCACTCTCTCTCTCTGAGTAACTTTACAATTAGATTATAACTTTCCTAGGTAAATGAAGTTTGTGGTTTAGTCCATGTGTGCCTCTGTAACCTTCACTACCGCCCTCGGGATGGGTATGGGGTGCATAATATAATGGTTCATAATAATATTAGCAATAAAAGATGTTACAACTAACCCCTAAATATTAAAACACGATCAGAGTAGATATAAAGGCCTATATATACATATATTATCTAAATCATTTCTTATATATGTAGATATTTGCTTAGCCTTTTTCATCTTATATAATAATAATTATAACCCACACTAACTGCATTATATATTTACTGAGTTTTGTTAAAAACAACAGTTAAAGTTTTTCAAGGAGTGACGGGGCTCTTTAAGATGTTCCTGCGCTGCTCTCTGATTGGTGGAGCCGCTGTGACGCAACCATGACGTCACGGCAGGCGCGTATATGTTAACCAATTGCCGAAGTTGAATATACATTCATTTAAATTAAAGTATTTCACAATTATATTTAATAGAATTTTGTAACTATATTAGAAGATTAATATGCAACACTGGTAAAATACGATTTCAGTTTCGAACTGATGAGTCAAATGGCGGTCATAAGAGAACGCATAAAAATCCGTTTATGCCATCCAAGTATTGCAAGTTTCTGGGGTTATTGATCCTGAGTGTTGCAGAGCCGCCAGACACTGCACGCACGGCCCTGGCGTAGGACGCCATCACACAGGGCCGTGGCGTAGGACGCCATCACACAGGGCCGTGGCGTAGGACGCCATCACACAGGGCCGTGGCGTAGGACGCCAACACACAGGGCCGTGGCGTAGGACGCCATCACACAGGGCCGTGGTGTAGGACGCCATCACACAGGGCCGTGGCGTAGGACGCCAACACACAGGGCCGTGGCGTAGGACGCCATCACACAGGGCCGTGGCGTAGGACGCCAACACACAGGGCCGTGGTGTAGGACGCCATCACACAGGGCCGTGGTGTAGGACGCCAACACACAGGGCCGTGGTGTAGGACACCAACACACAGGACACCAGAGAGCAGGGAGAGATACCAGAGGGCCAGAAATGAGTACATCAGAGTGAGGAGGGAAGCAGAGAGACAGTTTGAAAATGACATCGCGAGTAAAGCCAAGACCCAACCAAAGCTGCTCCACAGCCATATCAGGAGGAAAACAGCAGTGAAGGAACAAGTGATGAAGCTGCGGAAAGGGGAGAACAGATACACAGAGAATGACAAGGAGGTGTGTGAAGAACTCAACAAGAGATTCCAGGAGGTCTTCACAATAGAACAAGGAGAAGCCCCTGCACTAAATGAGGAGGCGGCAAACCAAGCAACCTTGGAGGAATTTGACCTCACCAGTGATGAGGTCAAAAGGTGTCTGCTGGAGCTAGATGTGACAAAGGCTGTTGGGCCTGATAGAATCTCACCATGGATACTAAAGGAAGGTGCAGAAGCACTAAGTGTGCCACTCTCTATGGTGTATAACAGGTCACTGGAAACAGGAGACTTACCAGAAAGTTGGAAGGCAGCTAACGTGGTCTCAATATACAAAAAGGGTGACAGGCAAGAGGCACTGAATTACAGGCCAGTTTCCCTTACTTGTATACCATGCAAGGTGCTGGAGAAGATCGTGAGGAAAAGGCTCGTAGAGCATCTGGAGGGAAATAACTTTGTAACGCACCACCAACATGGGTTCAGAGATGGTAAATCGTGCCTCACAGGTTTAATAGAATTTTATGACCAGGCAACGAAAATTAGGCAGGAAAGAGAAGGGTGGGCCGACTGCATTTTCCTGGATTGCCAAAAAGCCTTTGACACAGTACCCCATAAAAGGCTGTTAAAAAGTTGGAGCAACAGGCAGGAGTAAAAGGGAAGGTGCTCCAGTGGATAAGGGAGTACTTAAGCAACAGGAAACAGCGAGTAACGGTGAGGGGGAAGACATCAGAGTGGCGAGATGTCACCAGCGGAGTCCCACAGGGCTCAGTACTTGGACCCATCCTGTTTCTAATATATGTGAACGATCTTCCAGAGGGTATAGACTCATTCCTCTCGATGTTTGCTGATGATGCAAAAATTATGAGAAGAATCAAGACGGATGAAGATAGACAGAGACTACAGGATGACCTGGATAAACTGGAGGAATGGTCTAGAAAATGGCTGCTGAAGTTCAACTCTGGAAAGTGTAAGGTGATGAAATTAGGCGAAGGGAGCAGGAGGCTGAACACAAGGTATCATCTGGGAGGGGAAATCCTGCAAGAATCAAATAGAGAGAAGGATCTGGGGGTTGATATCACACCGAACCTGTCCCCAGAGGCCCACATCAAAAGAATATCATCAGCGGCATATGCTAGACTGGCCAACATAAGAACTGCTTTCAGAAACTTATGTAAGGAATCTTTCAGAACCCTGTATACCACTTATGTAAGACCAATCCTGGAGTATGCAGCTCCAGCCTGGAGTCCATACCTAGTTAAACACAAGACAAAGTTAGAGAAGATTCAGCGGTATGCCACCAGGCTCGTCCCGGAACTGAGAGGATTGAGCTACGAGGAAAGGCTAAAGGAGCTGAACCTCACATCCCTGGAAAACAGAAGAGTAAGGGGAGACATGATAACCACCTACAAAATTCTCAGGGGAATTGACAGGGTGGACAAAGACAAACTCTTCAGCACGGGTGGGACACGAACAAGGGGACACAGGTGGAAACTTAGTACCCAGATGAGCCACAGAGACGTTAGAAAGATTTTTTTCAGTGTCAGAGTAGTTAATAAATGGAATGCACTAGGAAGTGATGTGGTGGAGGCTGACTCCATACACAGTTTCAAATATAGATATGATAGAGCCCAGTAGGCTCAGGAATCTGTACACCAGTTGATTGACAGTTGAGAGGCGGGACCAAAGAGCCAAAGCTCAACCCCCGCAAGCACAATTAGGTGAGTACAGGGCCGTGGTGTAGGACGCCAACACACAGGGCCGTGGTGTAGGACGCCAACACACAGGGCCGTGGTGTAGGACGCCAACACACAGGGCCGTGGTGTAGGACGCCAACACACAGGGCCGTGGTGTAGGACGCCATCACACAGGGCCGTGGCGTAGGACGCCAACACACAGGGCCGTGGTGTAGGACGCCAACACACAGGGCCGTGGTGTTGGACGCCAACACACAGGGCCGTGGTGTAGGACGCCAACACACAGGGCCGTGGTGTAGGACGCCAACACACAGGGCCGTGGTGTAGGACGCCAACACACAGGGCCGTGGTGTAGGACGCCAACACACAGGGCCGTGGTGTAGGACGCCAACACACAGGGCCGTGGTGTTGGCGTCACTACTCCCAAAGTAGGGATGAAGTGCTAAAGATAAATTTTGGTTTTCCAGCCCATTCCTCTTTAGCACTTCGGGTTTCTTGATAAATTTTGGCCATTCCTCGCTGGCGTGTCAGGGTTTCCTGATAAAATTTCCCAATTTTTCGATTTGGAGTTAACAGAGTCTTATGGCAGAAATTGAAAATAATTTCGGAGTTCATGAAGTTTCTTATAGAAAATTCATGGACAAAGTCCGCTCCCGTCCTACTGAGAATAAATTCTACGGTCATAAGCAGATATTTTAGACTGTATGCTTTTAAGTAAATTCTTACTTACAAACGAGTATATTTCTATATAAGTAACTAAAAGCTACCATTACCCGTCCCCCCTACCCACCCTTTCCCTCCCCCCCCTGGCAGCAGGTTTTCATTTATGCATATTTCATTGAATTATCTGCATATTCTGTATTGATTATTTTCTTGTTTAGGGCTTCTATCCCTCTGACAAGTGCTCTAGCATCTTGGTATTAAT